CTGATGCGCTCTGTGATTGACATCTGCCAGGAGGTCATCAAGCAGTCCAATGTGCAGATCCTCGTGCCCCCCGCACGCCCCGACATTATGCTTTTCCGTCCGGGGGCTGCTGACCTTGGCTTCCCTCTTGACATGACCAATGGTGCCACTTTGGCACCCAATGGCAACGGCATTGCTGGTATGCCTGAAGACGAGGCCACGCGGGCTGCACTTACTGCTGCGCAGTCCTCCCTACCTGTCCTGCAGGGTGTGGACCGCCTGCCGATGGTGGCAGGACCTCTCTCCCCGCCACTGCTGGCCTCACCCTTCCAGAATGTTGCTGCTAGTGCCCCCACTTTAGGCACCAAGAGGGGGAGAGGGCGTCCCCGTAAAGCTAATCTCTTGGACTCCATGATGTTTGGTACCCCGGGGGGCCTGCGAGAGGCTGGTATCCTGCCTTGTGGCCTCTGTGGGAAAGTATTTACGGATGCTAATCGTCTTCGTCAGCATGAGGCTCAACACGGGGTGACAAGCTTACAGCTGGGCTACATAGACCTCCCACCCCCAAGACTGGGTGAAAATGGTATCCCTGGTCCGGATGACCCCGATGCACCCCGAAAAAGAAGCAGGACAAGGAAACAGGTGGCCTGTGAGATCTGTGGCAAGATTTTTCGGGACGTGTACCACCTGAATCGGCACAAGCTGTCACACTCTGGCGAGAAGCCTTACTCTTGTCCAGTGTGTGGCTTACGGTTCAAGCGGAAAGACAGGATGTCCTATCACGTTCGATCTCACGATGGCTCTGTGGGAAAGCCGTACATCTGCCAGAGCTGTGGAAAAGGCTTTTCCAGGTAAGCAAGTACTTATAAGGACCATAGACACAAACGGAGACCTAGGAGTAGTGTCTTGGGAAACAAGAACAGTTTATATTTAGGGTAGTTTGACTGTTCCACTTTAAAATGTCTCGAGAAATGAGACTTCCATCATTTCTGCTGGGACGCTATTCTACAGTTTCTTGAAGGGGTTTGAAAGTAATTAAGACATAGAATTGGGAGTCAGCCGGCCTCTGGGTAACATTCCCAGCTTTGTCCCAGACTTGGTGTATGTGTGTCCTTGGGCAAATCAGTTGTCTCTCCCTCAAATGACTCTTCTGTGAACTGGGTATTGAAATAATTACCTACTTCACAGAAGTGTCTTGAGACTACTGATTTGTAGGTAGTTTGAAGGTGCTGTTGAAGTGCAAAATATTAGTACATCTCAAGATTATTATTTTTCTCGTATCCATTTTAAATTTTCTTTTTCTTAACTTCCCTTCATTTCTCTTAGTTCGTAATGTTTTTTATCACGCAAATGTGAAGGAAGAGGTGAGATTTCAAAGGCTGCAGCATCAAGTATCTTTTAATACATGATCTTTGTGTCCTTTGGGTTTACATCCTTCTGAAGGGGATCCTGTTTCTGCCCTGCAACATACGTAAGATCTGTGCATTTAATGTTGCTGATTTTTGTTGTCGCTGTTTGTGGGAGTTAATTTAATTAAGTAGTTTGATACACGTAGTCGTGTTAATGGTATCTTATAGTCTGAGTTAATGAATTTGAAACATTTTTGGAAGTCTGATGGTCGCTTTGAGACTAGCGGTGGTGGGGGGCGGGGGTTGCGTACGCTCTGTGTTACTTTTGTAGCAGCAGTCGGTTTTCTGCAGCAGTCGTTTGCTCTAACAGGAGGGAAGGAATCGAGATACGGAAACAAATCAAAAGGCTAGTAGGCTATATAAATGTAGGAGTTGTTGCCCCTGCTAGCTCTTTTTGATAGAGGGACTTTTTGTTACTGAAATAAATTAACAAAATATAGACTTTGTTTTTTAATCAGCAATAATTAGGGGTGCATCTTCATAAAGACTGCAGATTTAGTGATGGAAAGTCATAAAACGAAAATTTCATCTGTGGATAGAAGTGAAAGTGTTTTTCTTATTATAGTGCTACCTGGGATCGTCTGCCAATTTCTCTTATTTTTATTCAGACTTAAAGATTTCTGCTGTTGCTGTATGAAGAACTTTTGTCAACAAGGGAAAGTGAAAGATACATGTTGAGTTCTCATTTTTCCCAGTAAGTTAATGTGAACAGGCAGGAATGCTGTTATAAAAGTAAACAACAAAAACGTCTCCACATCTTTGTGAAATCGAAGTATGAATGCAAAGTAGAAACTCTTTAAGTTTCAGTATTCGGTCGTAGGAGCAGCCAAAGGAAGTTGGAAGTGTGTCGTCTAATTTTAGAATCCTTTCCTTCATTCAGTAGCACAGCACGTGAGGTTGCTAGAAGGACCCCCAACCAGTCTTTCCGGTTACACCGCTCTAGCCCACTTGCTGGAGCATCAGGTTTAACAGCCTGACTGCAAAGTTCAGTCTATTTTCTGTCTGCAGCGGGTGAATTCCATCCCGAGCCCTCTCATTGGCGCAGCTGGAAGGTTGGGGGAGGAGAGAGGGGGAAAACTTGTTTCCAAGCAGTTTTGGCCTCACACAATGAAAAGCTTTCTTCCCACTAGGCGAAACTCCCTCCCACCAGGAAAATCTGCAGCTATTCAGTCCTCTCTTCTTCAAAGTAGGCTTTACGGATTGTGAAGAACAGTCTAACTTTTTTAAATAATAATTTGCTCTTCCATTGCACCTTCTAGTTGGGACCTTCAGAGCACTTTATTTGTATTAATGCAGTCTCCCTACCAAGTTGTGAGTTAGGACTGTATTTTTTAATCTTGCTGGTGGAAAGTGTGTCACAGAAACAAGTCTTTTTGCACAGAGGTGCTTAAGGTTGGCTTCTTATATCTGTGTTTGGGACATGAATGAAAAGGGTCTGATTTTCAAATATTCAGCAACTTTAAGTCAAAGTGCCCTGATTGTCAAGATCTAAGTAGGATTTTGGAAGGGAACATGCAGGCTTGAAAATTGTAGCTTGTATTTCCTTTTTTTTCCTGATTATTCCGTCATAATTTCTTCCTGAGGAAACGCTGCCTTTTTAGCAAGTTGGAGAGGGTACTTATCAAAGTAGAGTCCCAGTTGTTGGTGATCTGGTTCTTCGAAAGTTAAATATAACTACATTTGTAATAGATCCACCACTGGGCTCTTATAGTTTCCTTTTTTTTTTTTTTTTTGTTAAAATTGGAAGTTTATTTTTAGTGTTTAAGTGTGCTTATGTGTATTTTCTTTTAAGGCCAGACCACCTGAATGGACACATCAAACAGGTGCATACCTCAGAGAGACCTCACAAGTGTCAGGTAGGAGCTGGGGGGGTTTAGACTGATGTATGGGTAGCTTTTGGCATTGCATTTATGTGTGCAGACAATTATGAAGTATCAGTAACATACCATGTATGTGTGAATTGGGATGAATGTTTGTAAATAACAGTGTTCAACAGTGACAGCTGCTTTACATCCCTCCTGTCCCCTAGCCCTTTGTGTCATCTACAGCTTTGGTCCTGCTGCCTCCCTCCCCTTCTCCCAGATGTTCTTCCTCACTGCTCTGTCCCAGTCTCACCCTGGATCTCTCACCCAGCCACCCTGTCCGTGGGCTTAGAGTCAGTGTCACAGATTTTTCCCTCCACTCCCATCCCCTCCTTTTTTTATTGCAGTTGTTGCCAACAGGAGGCTCTAATGCTGACTTCATTTTTTTTTTTTTTTAGAATAATTTCAAATAAAGTTGGTAAATCATCATAACTTGCCCAGATGCTCTTTTTTTTTTTTTTTTTTTAATCACGTAGCCTTCAGAACATTGCACTGAGCAAAACTGGAAGCTTTTTTTTATCCCAGGGAGAATGTAAATAACAGCATCACAGTATCCTTTTTAATACACTGTTATAATGTTGTACATTTTTTACAGTTAATAAATTATTCATTAGGGCTTGAAAGATCAAGTCAAGAAAGACATTTTGTAATTCATTTGTAGAGAGATGTAAAAGGTGCCTGGAAGTATGCATTAAAACCAAAGTTGGGAACCAGCTTCCACTATCATCTACTGCCTTCACGTAGTTTTTCGGCAAATTTCTAAAACATTTGTTGGGTTAACAGTCTCCATGCTTGGTCTCTGAAGAAAGATTTATTAAATTAGTTATTTAAAGAAAGCTGGAGCAAAAGAATTTTAATTTTATTTGAAGACAGTGAAGGTTAGGGGATTTTTTTTCTTCTAGCATTTTAACCACATTTTCTGAACCTGGTCAGTCCTACATGACTGCTGCCTCCTGATCTGCGTTTTTCTACCCATCTCTTGACACACCTCTCCTGTGTTCCCTCCAAATTGTGAGAGTTTTGAAACATTTTACAACTTTAATAATCCAGTGAACAGTTTTTCAGACATCTTAGACATTTTAGAGACGTCTATTCTGTTGACCTCCTTATGATGGCCCAGCACCTTTGAAAATCGGGCCATAGAGCCTCCACATTGATTTAACTGCATATACTGTATAAAGCCTTAGATTCGTTGAAGCTTCTTAAGATGACTTGGGGGTTATAGATTTATATACATTGGAAAAAAAGACTTCACAGTTTTGGGATAGCAAGGGGTCTGGGTGGATGAACTCAAGATGACTGCAAATTTTTTCCATGGGCGTGTATTTGTGTGCAAATACAAAAATGAATTTTTAGGTCGCAACACAAACAGAAACTCATTAGTCTTTTGCCAGTTAATGTTAAGGTTGCTGAACGAACAGAGTTTATGAATAACATTGATAGACGTGAATTGTCCTTTCACTGCTGATACCTGATAATTTTATAGTAGTTTTCTAATTGATTTAAGAATTTTAAGCATAAACTCTTAAGTATAAATCAGAGGATACACTAAGAGCTAGAAAATAAAGAAATATGGAAGCAAAGGTTGCACAGCCAAGCTCAACTTCATCTCCTTGCACACATGTATTTTGTGATAGCAATTTCTGAGAACAGTCTTCCTCATTGTGTGTTGTTTAAAGTGCCGTAATACTGTATGCACTGTTCATTTCAGTTAGAAGGTATGGGCTGTAGGCTGCAAGCATCAGGACGACATTGAAGTTGTCATTCAGGCTTGGTTTGTTCTTGATTTTTGACTGCTCATCCTTGCAAAGTTAATTTTTAATTAATTTTAAGGTGTAGAAAATTTTTAATTTTAAAGAGTTGTTTTGTATCCTGTCAGATGTAGAAAGTTTTCTTATATATGCACAGATCTGATATACATGGTACAAACCACAGAAAGGATGCTGTCACACTGAAAATTTGTTTCAAATCTGAAAGCTGATATATAAATTGATAAAGGTCTTCTTGTGATTATCTTGTAACCAGTAACACTTCTGTTCCATGACATGTATCTAAACATAGAATCTGGCCAGTGAGAAGAAAAATAGCTTAGTATTGGCATGTTATTTCCCCATTTTCCATTCTCATTTACCATTGATTGCAAATTAGCTCCCTATGAGAGTAGTCCGAAGAGCATTGAGCATCCTTTTTGAATCTGTTGAGTTCCTGTTGAAAATTCCTGTTATTTTCATGCTTTGTTTATGTTTACTGCCAAAGAGTAGTACTCTGTCAGTAAACTGAAAAGCTTTCCACAATCCTGTTATAATGGCATTCTCAGAAGTGGTGCTCTGTTACTATTTAAACAAAATCCACTGGCCATTTACCTGATCCCTCATGTGTCTTTGCAAACCAGAGGATATCTAATGTTTTGTTGATGTGGCATTGTGGTACATTTTGGACTTCCAAAACAAAAGCGTGAAAGGGTCAACCCAACTTCAGAATAAACAAAATGAAGTTATGAGAAGCAGGACAATTGTAAGCTGAACATCACTGCGGCAGCTGTAGTTTCCAGTGCTCAGCATATAATCCTGCACTCATCCCCCGAAAATAACAGTTGTGTCTTAAGTTCCAGCACCTGTCGCACCTGATGTGAGACAAAGACCTGATTCCAGCTTTTTCAATACTGTTAAAATAGAATAGGGAAGGCCTCCACAGAGCCAAGGCCGCTGAGAAATCAGAGCCCAGAATTTGGTTTGGTGTCCAGACAAGACACTAAAGGACACTCTGGATCTTTTTCCCTGGATTGTTGCAGTAGTGATTTTTTTTTTTTCTTTATTATTTTTTTTAATCTGACAGTTGAGTTCTGGATGTAGGAGATGGGGTAAGTCAGTTTTCTGGCCATAGTGTAATAGCTCCGTTTGGTCACTTATCATGGGAAGGGGTGAAGCTGGGTTGTTGGCTTTTGAGTGTGAATGGTATGCAAGTCAGGCTGTAGTTTGAGAGGAAATGGTGATCTGAAAGTCTGTGGACATGGAAGAACAAGGGGAGAAAACAGAATTTTGCTCCTTTTCAGAGACAAGAGACAGGTTGTTCTTCTGGCATTTTAAATAAAAAAGAGAAAAATGCAGGTTAAATTAAAGTATAACTTTCGACAAAGAAAAAAAGATCTATTTATTTAAGTAAACCTAAAACTGATCCCAAGTCCAGTGCTTTTCCCGTTACTTTCAATGCAGAATGAGTTTCTTCCTGTCCTAATTTCTCTTACTTCCTGCCTATTAGCAGGAAAATGGCAGCCACCATGGAATAAGCTCAGAGACATCTACATCCATAGAAAATTTGAAACTTCAAGAGGTATTTCTTAAACAATGTTTTTTAAACTTTATATATATATTCTTTTTGATCTATTTATATACCTATGCAATGTTTGATAGGAAAGCACTGGAGAGTTTTCTTCTATGATTAATAATTAATGATAAATACTCATTTAGAACTTCACATCTTTTGTAAAATATAACTTTTTTTTCTCTATACCTTTTATAAATATTAACTATTTGAATATTAACTTTGGGGTTTTCTTTAAAACTAGTCCTGTCTCCCACTGTTGTGATTCAGCTAAACTGGTTCTTGCTTTCTCCATTGGACTTAATTTTTTTTTTTTGAAGCTTCTTTGCAGATGTATTTACTAGATAGCGTATTGAAAAGTGAACTTTGCACAACTCAGCAGCAAGAGTGAGAAATCAAACACAGAAATTGTTATATTGCCTTTCCCTAAGTTTTTGACTTGATAAGTTCAATATGGGACAGATATGATTCTACTTCTGGTATCCCTGTATTTGTGTGGTTTGTCTCTGGTCTGCTTCATCAACCGATGCACTCCAAATGCTTTTGTGTGGACGCTTACTGTGGCTCAATATTGGTGGACTTATTGATGATGGATCTCTTGCCTGTTATCCTTGGTTGTCTAGTTCTGTATCTTTGGTTGATATCCAACAGATTGATTAGTGTCACTGCTGGAATCCTGCATTAAATCAGTGTTTTCCTCTAAAAACAATTTAGTAAGCAAAAGCTGCACCTGTTTTGCTCAGCACTGTGTACTGAGATTTCAAATTTAGGTTAATCTTTTACGTTCAAGAATTTGCCTCTTAATCTTCACCACTTGTAATTCATGAATCTTTGTCTGGTGAGCTTAGTCAAACTGTGTGCTTGCTGCAGAAATACAGATAATTTTACTGCTGTCCTTTTAAGTTAATGAAGTCCTGATCCTCTGAGGTTCTAAGTCTTGTGCTTGCTGCAGAGTAGGCTCAGCTTTATGGGAGTTTACCACACTTAAGCATCTCATAGAATCGAACGAGTGGAAAGCCCGTTGAAATTGCTGGGTACATTTCAGCTGTCTTCAATGTTTTTTGGATTAAGCTCTTGATTGACTAAATTATATAAAATTATATGGACTATCTTCTTATGTATTATCCATTTCACTTATTTGAAGTTATAATTTTCTAATTTTACTAGGATTGTTACTTTAACAAGTCTGTCTCTGTTGAAACAATTGTTTAATTACACACTGAAAAGACAGAATATATCCAGTTCCCAAGTCACTTAATAGTCTCATATTATCTCTTAGGGGGTTCTGGTTATACATCTTAAAACTGCGTTATTTTATATAAAGGTGGTATAAACGAAACACTGTACGCTCTTTAATGTCACTGTTGCCTGCTTGGTCTAGCATATGTTTGCACTTGTTTTTCCTCTTGCACTTGTGAGCAATGGTTTCAGACTATATCTTTAATAACTTTACAGTGTATTGCTGGTGATTTATTTTCCTTCACATGTTAGAGATAGAGCAAGCCTTTCAGAGCCGGCAGGATGTTGTAGTAGGCTGTATACATAGTCTGCATGCCTGCCAATTGCTATGATTACAAAAATGGGAGGGAGCCTTCACTCATTTTATCATATGGATTATGTCTGGAAAGTATGCAAGTAGAATCAATATTATCGTATGACAAATCAAGCTTGTTTCACAGTAGTAAGTGGAATGTGATACCTTGATTGGGGTAAGTTACAAACAGGTTACAGTGTCACACATTTATTTTGATATTTGCTCAGTTCTGAGGCTTCATTTCCACAGTTTGTTTGCACTGCTACTGTGGATACTAGGGTGGCACTTTTACTGTCTTTCGTCATATTCTCATCCCAGCCAATTCTCTGATACTTTGTTTGTATGTCTTCATACTCCAAAGGGATTCTGTGTACTGAAGTTAGATTAATCAGATAAGAGTAAAATTTAGGAAGATGGCAGGGAAGACATTTTGAGTGGTCTAAAGTGATTGTAATGAGTCGGTGAAATAGCAGAATTTACTGTAAATGGAATGAAGTGGTTTGTGCTATTTCTTTTATTAAATATTACTTAAAATTTTAGTATCTTCATCCTCAGAGAGGAGGTAAGGCCTTACAATGTCTTGATTTATCTTGATTTAAGTTTTACTGTCTGTAGTATGTCAGAGCTGTTTTCTTGCTTTCTTAGTTCTTTCAAGTAGTAACATCACATCTCGTGAAGTATGTTGGTGATCAGAATTTCTTAGTTGTGGGAAAATGATTCGTGCATCATGTCATTTGTCCGTTTGCACAGGGTCTAAGGTATTTACTGTAAATAATACTAAATATATTCAATAATACAACTGCTTTTAGCAGAGTTGATGAGTCACATGGTTCTCATTATACCTGCAGACTTGTAATGCTTCCTTTGCCACTCGTGACCGACTGCGCTCACACCTAGCATGTCATGAAGACAAAGTTCCGTGCCAGGTGTGTGGGAAGTACTTGCGAGCAGCATATATGGCAGATCATTTGAAGAAACATAGTGAAGGACCAAGCAATTTCTGCGCTATCTGTAACCGAGGTAATGAAGAAACTATTTTTTTATTTCAGTGGGATGGGACAGCACTTGAGGGAGGCTGTAAGGCTATGTGACTCTGTCTGCAACAGGAGGAGGTTATACCATATATGCATACATATTCTTTGTTTTTCTTATTGGATACTTTACCTTGAAACTGATAGAGCTATAGGTCTGGCCTTTTTATGTGGCTGATAGTTCCTGAAGAACCTCAGTTTAAATCTGAAGCAAATTGTTTCTAAACAGTTTTAAGAATTTTATTTGCTAAATAGCCAGATCACTGTAAAATAACTATGATATGAGCCTTACCCACCATACACCTTTTTTTTTTTTTTTTTCTGTACCTGGTTAGACTTGAGTCCATGTGTTCAGTTTGGAAGAAGAATCTTTGAAATAAATACCAGGTTGAAAATTATACACTGTACATAAAAAAAATCCAGATTATGTTATCAGTCTTGCTTAACCTCCTGGTGCAGCAGTAGAGTCAAACTGCTTCTCCCTCTTAGCCCAAGAAATAAATTTCTAATACAAATTTTGTAAAGAGCACTAGAAATGTGCTTCACCTTTATTTGTACAAATACAGAGTATCTCGAGTTGGAAGGGACTCATAAAGATCATTGAGTCCAACTCCCTGCTGCTTGCAGGACTGCCTAAAATGAAGCCATATACCTAAGAGCTTTTGAAGCTTTTCCATGCATTTATGGTACTCTTCAGTTGGAGAGAGTTGTAAATTTAGGCTTTGTAGGATGTAAGACAAGCTGGAAAAATAATTTTGACTTATTGATGCCTTTTTTTTTTTTTGAATGATTAATACACAACTTCAAAATATGTTGTTGGCTCACACAGGCCATAAGTGCGGGAAGAGGTTGCGGCTGTGTTTTGGGATCTTGTTTTCTCTGAGTCAGTTTTTTATTATGTGTGCTCCTTTTTCTAATTTAAGAGAGGTGAAATCTTCTGGGAGAACAAAACTGTTCTGTATTTAGTGTGAGGACTGCACAGGGAGCTTTTGTATGATTAGGAGTAGATGAGTAATGAGAGACACTGAATTGCAAGGGATGTATTTCGACTAGTTGAACCGTTGTTAGGTCCTGAAAGTGATGTTAAGAGTAGAAAAGGCACCTGGGCTGAAAATCTTCAGATTCTGAAGCTCCAGGTAGATGGTACAAAATGAAGCTTGGCCTCCTTTTCAGCTGAAGGTCTATCTTCTGAAAAACTGCCTAATCTTATCCCAGCTCTTTTTATGGTAACAACATGGAAGATGCTATCCAAGATCCAGGTGCTATCCTGCTCTCCTCCAGTTCAACGTGGTGCCAGACACAAACTGATATGTATTGGGGGATTTGTCTTGTTTCCAAGATTTGTAGGCTTGAGTTTCACCTTAACTACCACTGGATGTCACTGTAGCTCTTTCAAAATTCAGCCAGCACGACAAAGACAGATCTGGCATTCAAACAATGAAATTACTAAATGGTTTATTCACATTTTACAGGTTTAAATGTACAGTGAAAATTTAAATAAAATATACACTTCTCTGTAGAAGGATAGGGAACTGTTGTACAGCAAACTTTAAGCAACTACTTTCTTCTTGCAGCTTGTGTATTTCATGTGTTGTCAGAATTTAATCTGCTGTGAATTTCAGTTGACATCAGCACTTCGAAAACATAATTAATCTGGTGAATTATTGTTAAATATCTACCCAGTGATAAAATTCATAGGAAAGGGAAGTTACAGACTGTATTTGTCAAACAACTTTTAAATTGTGGAGCCTGGCAAGATGAAGGATAGTGGAAAATTTCTGGATTAGAAACATCTATTTGATAGGCATTGGTGCAGTCAGAAGCTATGCACCGTCCTCCTGACTGCGATTGTGCCATGGCTGTTGTGCTTGTACAATGGGATTTTGTTTTATTCTTCCCTCAGCTAACCTGCTGGTGTATTTTTGAATTGGAACTTAGCTAGTTCTGGATATAGTAGTTGTCAAGCTCTGGATATAGTAATTGTCAAGCAAGTATTCTCAAGCTGCTTGTAGAGAGAATTTTGGATGTTGGCCCACCAGAAAAAAAAAAAAAAAAAAAAAAGTGGATGAAAAGGCGACTCTTACACAGCTGGACATATCCTAGCGTTAAAGACAGAGCTTAGAATCCCTCAATTTATCCCATCAGACTGGGAGCTTTTCTGCGGAATTTAATCAAGTGTCTTGTGTTCTTTCAAAAGTTTAATGGATTTAAGAGATGGGGGACTCAGTACCTGACTGAACGCAGTAGCCGCTGGTTTGCCATGTCGTGCATGTACCCATTTGCTGATTCTATTTATTTATTTATATTACAAAATGTCAGTATAATATCCAAAAATTACCATCTGTGATCTGATGGTTTTTACAGGTTATTTTCTTTCTTAGGGTCTTTAAGCTTAAAGTAACTATGGAAGCACTTAAATGTTGTTAAGTCAGGGAAGATGTGCAATTTGGGGGGGAGGGTCTGGGTATTTTTATTTTTTAATTTTTTTTAAGAATTAATCTAAAATGTGCTTATGAAAACTAATTCTCAGTCCTCACTTTTTAAGACAAATTCTCTTTAATCAGTTTAAAAAAGACCTGCTCCTGCTTTTCTGTTACATAATCTTCTGTTACCATCCTTATGAACTTTATTTGCTTGTGTGGGCTTTTTCAAAGGACTTAGATTAGTGATTTCGGCTAGTCTAGAACTGGTACTTTGTAATACCGGTGTAACTCAGAAGATTCATTTTCTGTTTCAGACATAGGTGTTGTTTGTTTGACACAAAACAAATTAGTTAGGAGAAGGGTAAATATTCCAATCACAAATTAGATGGATTTTTTTTTTGTTATGATAAGATGAATTCTTGTATATTTCTTGGTGAATACAGAGTTGATTACAGCAAGACACATTCTCCAGATATTCCAGCTAAATCCAAATTAGAATTTTATAAAAAGTAGCACCCTGTAATTATTTCTGTAGTCCCTCTCGTTATAGATGTTATCTAAGAGGTCATGGGATAGGTCCCATTTATATAAAGCAGGTAATTTCCTCTCTGTGCATGTTTTTAATGTTGGTTCCTCTGGTATGAAGAAATAATCTGCTCTGCAAAGCTGAGACATGTGTATGGGTAAAGCAATAAATACATTCCTTCTTTGAAAAATACTGACACTTTACCTTCTGCATTATCCTGACTCTATTTTTAAAGAGATTTTTAAAAGTGAGGGATTATCGTCTATGAATCCCCCATCTTCCTAGGACAGGCATTCATAATATGTATAGCAGAGATTACAACTGTAGATTTTCTTGTGTCAATTGTAGTACAGGAAAACACTGAATACCTATATGTAGTCCTTTTTTAATGGTTGGCAGTGAGATTTTAATGCATTGCTGCATAAAGAGGCTCATCTCGGCATCTGTGTGGTTATTAGACATGTGTGAAATAAGGGAAGTACCTTGCAGGTACTGTATAATTCTTAATGACCCCTGAATAGTCCCTGATCCTGGCTTCTGAGCAGAGTCTGGGTAGAGGGATATTCTGTTGGGTAGGCACAGGGAATTCTAGTGTAAAGCCACGTTCGTTTTTAAATTCAGCACCTGAAACTAACAAAAAATCCACCCCAGAGGGGTGTGCTAGTACTGGTTTTGCATCCTTTCTAATATATTATCATATATCATAAAATATAAATGCAGTTATATCACTATAAAAATACTTTTACAGTAGCATATCTATTAATATTTCAAGTGAAGTATTGGTGTGAAAGTTCTCTTGCAAGGGTTTGTGCTGTAAATGCTGTATTAGTTTAAAAAAAATAAAATCTAAGTTTTGGGTTTTTCCAGGAAAGGAACCTGGAACTCTGTGATGGTGAAACTTGTGTTCTCGGTTGTTAAAGGAAAATGTTTCTAACATGAAAGTGTCATAAGATTCTGGTCAAAATATAATAGAAAATTAGGATGGTTGTTGATAGGCTTACCTGTCTAGGAAGTATTTAAAACTCTGTCTTCCTTGTATCTTATATGTGGTCCAAATGTACTAGTACTAATTGCAAATCTTACTAAAATGGAATTTTAAAATATTCCAAAATATATGTGAGATAATTTATTGCATTAAAGGAAAAGACCATATTTGTGAGACTTCAAAAACAATTTTAAAAAGCACATGTACAAATGTAAAAAACCTGTTTTGTTCAGAAATCAGTTGTTTGAAATATGTTTATGTCAGTCGTTTGGGCTTACACATCAGAGCTGATAGAAATATTGAAATTTAATTTTAATTTTGTTTTTATTAACTACAGACAAAATATGAGGTTTAGTATGTTTTTTAAAACTCAGGATGAGCTGAATGGAGGAAATAATTTTCAAAAATTACTATAGAACGACATTGTATACCTCAAAAACTCAATAGTTTCAGCTTTCTGCCTTCTAGGAGTCACTATACATGCTAGAACCCTAAGGGGAAAGCACACAATACCAAAGGGGTGTTACTGAATGGCATTCCTTCAAATCTTAGCAGCATAAAATAAACTAATTTGAACTATCTTTCAAAATATTATCAGATGATGAAGGCATTTTTCATTAAAATAAATAAAACAGCACAAAAATGGTGAAGAGACAGGGACGCCTTTTTGTAGCATGTCTCTTCTGCCTTTTTTTCCAGAAAATTTAATGTCATCTGCTAGGTTTGCTTGCCTAGGATTTGTTTCTGAAGAGGCTGTTCTTTCATCATGACTTCCAAAAAGGAAATGAAGTCTAATGAAAGGTATGCATTGCATTCATTGCCTGCTTATGTCCAGGAATACTACTTGAGCGTGTTGTAGGTAGCCAGAAATCGAGCTAGTACAATGGCAGTTTTGAAATAGACAGTAGGAGCAAGACAAAGATTAAAAGAAAAGGGAAGGCAGATGTGTGTCTTTGCTGATGGCAGGATCTCATCTCCTTTTATCTCGTTTAGGTTTCTCCTCTGCCTCCTACTTAAAGGTCCATGTTAAAACCCACCACGGTGTTCCCCTTCCCCAGGTCTCCAGGCACCAGGAGTCCATCCCGAATGGGGGAGCAGCGTTCCACTGCGTCAGGACCTATGGCATCAAAGGCAAGAGACTCGCTGCTCTGCACCTTGCTGCTCTGTGCAGAATTTTATGTTGTGGGATGCTGGGCTGGGCATGAGAAAGGGGAGGGTGGAAGGACAGGGAAAATACTGGAAAGAAGCTTAGGCAGGTGCATCACATAGTATGTAATATCTGTGCTTGGATAGTTGATTTAACAAGTCTGGGAGAAGGAGATGGGTATGTGAGTTTTTGGCAACTTCTTTGATTTTAGAAATTGAAAAGGCCAGTTAGTTCCTCTAGAGCATCTTCCTAGGAGCAGTCAGTATTTGAATTTTGCCTGAGGGGTGCAAATCCATGACAGTTCCGTAGTCCCACTATACTTGAATATCATGTCAGTCAAACCATGGTTTTGGTTTCCAGTGAAGGAAGGGAGAGCTACAGAATGCAGTTCATAAAGATTCTTGAGAGGTGAAAGCAATATTCATCCTCAGGTTGGTGAGGAGCCATGCAAGTATCTGTAGTTAAACTTACACTTGTAAAGCTGTTGCTGGGGAGGAGAGGTAGAAGGTGGTAACAGTACTGTTATTTTTTATGTTTTGTAATCTTCATTTAACTTCCCGGGAAAAGAAAAAAATAAAAAATACATTACTGCAAGAATAGCTAAAGAGTATTTAACTTCTGAATATGTAAAGCTGTGTGTTAATCTATGTAGAATAGCTTGTTTTTTGCTTCTTGGTTTGAGCTGTTGGTATTCCTAGTGAAGCTGAAACATCAGAAAATTCTTCAAAACCATGGTTGTCCCAAAAAGTTATGTTTTCTCTTGCCCAGGAGAACACAGCAGGCTGGGTTAAACAAAGTCTGTGCCAGTGAAAAGCTACAGTTGTGTAATTTCTTTCTGTTAGAAAAAATAAGTCCTGATAGAGTTACTACAGAAGCCCTCTGGTTCTGGGCAGTGTGCTGACTTAACAAGAGATTTACTCCAGCTCAGTGGTGTATTGATTTCATGCATATCCTGTTTGGTTTGTAATGCCGAGTCCACAGTAAATCTGTTTTTTGGGTTGTGCCAAGTAGTTCTTTGGTCTTTTAGAGTAGATACAGAGACTTGTTTAGGGAGTACGTCTGGGCTTCCCACGCTCATTCATATGCGCTGAGCAAAAAGTGTAGACAAACTTTCTTGGCATACTGCCGGAGGAGAATGGGGAACACTCCAAACATACCAATGGCTGTGCCAGGATATGTGTCCAGATGACTTAAAATACTGTCCCTAACCTCCCTCCTGTTTCACACTACAGTATTTAAAGATGGAACAGTTTTAAATTATGAAGTTAATTTCTAACAGTGTTGCACTTGTAAAAAAGAGTTCCTCAAAATTAAGTGGAATTGTACTAGATTGCAGTAGCTCACTGCTGTTTTACCGAGCGTTTACAGGTTTCTTCATGTCTTGCTGCAGCCTGTTATACTTTATTAGGTTTCTACGCTCTCCCCCAAAGTATCAACAATATTTCAGAAGTGTGGGACTGACTTGTACAATTAAAACTCTGGGAGTTATAAATGTTGTGAGACATCTTTGGGATTCAAAAAAGTATTATATAAACCAGACACCAATTATGGATGCATTCAGTATAATGACAAATCCATGATAAAAACCTGGATATTGCTCTCGTAGCAGCCCGGTGGTTTGTGGAGAGGACCTATGGTCAACAGCTTTAGAATATGAGGGATTGTGATGTTAAGTGTGTATCACTCTGTCATGACAGGCATTAATGAAATCAGGTGGCAACCAATATAATCTATTTGGATGCATGTTAAATAATTGTTTTGGGAGATAAGATTCTGAAAACTTCTCTCTTTTCTTTTTTCCATAGAAGGCCAGAAATGTTCACATTCGGACCCGATTGAGAGTTCTGATTCATACGGAGACCTATCTGACACCAGTGACCTCAAGACTCCTGAGAAACAGAGCACCAATGGGTCCTTCTCGTGTGACATGGCAGTCAGCAAAAACAAAATGGAGACAGAAGGAGAGAAGAAGTACCCTTGCCCTGAATGTGGCAGCTTTTTCAGATCGAAGTCTTATCTGAACAAACACATACAGAAAGTTCACGTCAGGGCCCTGGGTGGCCCACTGGGGGACCTCGGTCCTGCTTTAGGATCCCCCTTTTCACCCCAACAGAACATGTCTCTCCTGGAGTCATTTGGGTTTCAGATCGTCCAGTCAGCATTTGCATCATCCCTAGTGGATCCAGAGGTCGACCAGCAACCAATGGGGCCAGAGGGGAAATGAGATTAGTTTGATCTTAACAAAGCAAAGCAGCAGTCTGGCTATAATGATAAGATGCTGTGAATGAAAGAGGAAATAATGAAATGTGGTTCTATAGCTGAGAATTTTTTATTCATTTTAGCTTCCCTCTTTGTCCTGTGCCCTACCCTACCTTTAAATCTTCACTGAGGAGAGGGAGAAAATGCTTCTTAGCTGATAAATTACAGAAGATGGTGACCTTGAATAGGAGACATGACCTGAAACACCAAATGGAGCTTTAGAGGCTGCTGCTGGTGTTTCATCATGATCTTCTAGAATAAACAAAAGTTGTCAGCACTGATCTGAGAATTAGACAGTCAGTGACCAAGGCACCTGGGGAGCTGCAGCTACAGGGAGCTATGCTTTTATTCTCTCTCTATTCCCCACCTTCCCTAACCTACCCCAGAAAAACAGTAAGTTTTAAAAACAGACCCATTATTGACACATTATTGAATATAACCTTAAGTAAAATGCCCCATGGTACCTAGCAGATTACAATGCAGTTGTCCTTTTAAAACCAGAAAAATTTAAAGAAGGTGAGAGAATTTGAACCCCTTCTGCCATTTGTGAGGCTGTG